ACGTTGCTGCGCCATTGATATCGAGGACGAGCCATCCCGATAATTTTTTACCCGTCGCCGTCGTTGTCGATGCTGAAAGAAATTTTGCTGACTCAGCCGCAGCCGTTCCGGGCTTCTTCTTCGGGCTTTGAGCACTGAAAAAGAGAACCGAGTTACAATTTATTGCGATAACGCTGTATCTCGGTAGGTCGTGACGTAAGGTTATCGTGCATGCTTTTCCGTAGTCGGAACTCGCGTTCGGTCTCGCGTTTTCAAACAAATTACCGTCTGCGACCGGCGCGACGGCTCCATTTTTCAAGTTCCCTCGTCGCTACGCAACGTTTATTAACGTTCTTCGCCGACCGTTGTTGACCAGCAGGCCTATTCTGTAACTGTTAACGCAAATTTTGTTGTCATTATAACGCTGCTGCGCAACTCTTTTATCATGGTAAAAAAGCTGCGCAGTGGCGTTATAATGATGACGAAATTTGCGTTAAGAGTTACAGAATATATATATAGATCTGCAGGTATCCCAGGATCGCTGGATGTTTCTTCAAATAACAACAATACATAGAACTTCCACAAAATTATATCACTTATATTTGTATCATTGAAACGCACTTAAAATTCGAAATGTCAAAATTAAAAAATAAACGTTTAATCTTTAATAAAAAATATAATTATCTCATGTGTTTCTGCACTTTATTTTATGCTTTTTATATAAAGTTAACAATATTCGAAATGTAAATGCTATAGTATTGCAATACAAAGTACTAAATACATTTACAATACAAAGAACTTAGAGAGTAAGTAAATGAATGTTTTAGATTTATTATTACTTATTATGTTTATTGCTTTATGTGATTGACCTATTCATTTACTGCTTACGTCTTATAAGCCTAAAATCCAGAAACCTGATAGATGTAGATAAGCAGTAAGCGAACCATCCAATCGCAATAAAAAAATAACACTTGCTTACGTTTTTGTGTGTGCCATGTTAAGCTACAATTGGTAGTAAGGTGTAGGAAACTTCAAGCTCGTAGTAAGAAATCAACCAATCGATTATTCTTCTCATATTTGACTGGCCAATATCTTACAGCTTAAAGCTTATTATATCCATTGTGTTCCCCGTTTTCACGTGAAAGTATAATAAGTCGTATGCATTAAGAAATCGACCAATCACAGTCGAATGTGAAAAGAATAATCGACTTTGATTGGTCAACTTCTTACAGCTTATAATTTACTACGCAATATTACTCCCATTGTAGACGGCTCGTAAATCTCTCACGTGGAAAATAAGAATGTAACAAAAAAATCAGTGATTTGGTTTGAGGAGAATTAAATTGAATTACGCGAAAACATTCTTTTTTACGTCAAACTTCCAAAATATGAAGCATCGTTTTATCGTTTGCGTCGAGTACACAGTACTTTATTCTTCACCTTTTTTTCACTGTAAATCCTCAGTAACAATAAAACGGGTGCTCTCTCGACGTTCTTTCAATTATCGCATCGCCGTCGCGAAGTGGCACTCGCGTGGGTCTCGCGAGTATACATGATGAAGTAAAAAAAAGAAGGAAATACAAAAACAGATTCGCGCAGGTATACGCGAAACGGTAGGACGCGGTTTCTGCCAGCAGCCGGAGCGACATTTCTGACGGCATTCTACTCGTTTCCGTGCCGGCATCTCGTGACCGCGCGGATTCCGCGCGCGCGCGCGCGTATTATTTACTTCGCGGTTTCGCGAAAATAAGGTGAGTCGAAAATGGGAGAGGATTAAAAAAAAGGGGAGGAAAAGAAAAGGAGAGGGAAGGTAGACGTACGCCTTGCTCTTGTGCAAGCTTTGCCGCCGGGTGAAAGTCTGTTTGCAGTCTGCGAGAACGCGTTGCCGGACCGCTCTCGAGATGGATAAGAATCTCGAGAGGATCGATCGCGTTCGACCGCCGGCTCTCGTGAGAAATTTATCGGCCGATCATGTCGGCCCTGCCTTTTCCCTTTTAATATTGTCCCATGCCGAGTCGCGGGAGATGCGGAACTTCTCAGACGAGTCGAGGGATCGGCACTATTTCGATTCAATCAGATCTTTCAAAATTGTTTCCAATAAACAATTTGGACAAGAAATTTAAGATAGACATCCAAAAGATTGTTTGAAAGACACTTTTGCGAGAACTGTTCTAAAAGATGTCTAAAAGATATAAGATCATCTCTAAGCCCCGTTTTCACAACGTATGATGGTTACCTAAAGATTAAAGATTACCACGGAATTCATGAATGAATTTCATTGAATTTTTTGGTAACCTTTTTAATTCTTAGATAACCACATATTATGAAAACGGATGTCTCATGTCCTGATTTTGGACTTCGTGGATTATTTGGATTACTTCTTCCAGTTTACAAGTGACGTTTGTAAACATCGGTGCAACGGTGACGCATTTTCGTTATCTTTTTTCTATTTTCGTTCTCTTTTCCGTCACACGGTAGCATCGTGGAAATTGGGGATGAGTCACTCGCTCGCAGTTGAATTTGTTTCCGTGCGGGATGGACTGAATCCGGTATTTCCGCAAAATTACGAACGATATCGATTTGCAAACAATTCATGGCGCGGCTTAATGAGCCTGTTACCGCACACGACGGCGGTTCATTATGGGATAGGACAATGCGGGAGACACTCGGAGGAACGCGCATTCCTGCAATGCCTTCGCCGAGCCGATCCGCATTACGTAAGGATCAACAGCGTGCACGTAAAGATTACGTCGCGCTACGAAAGCTTGCTGAAATAAAGTCAACGGTTAAATAAAGCCGCGTCGGAATTAGCGATTCTGATCACGTCTCGCGCGGTGGTTAACGCGATACAATCGTCCTACGTGAACTTTTGCTTCCCGTTATACTGCACAGAGTGCCTTTAGTATTTATTAATTAAATCTCTGCGAGATCAGAACTGACCCTACTCAATTTAAAAATAAAAAGATCCTTGAGAAATTAGTCTCCACGAGATAGAAAAGTTTATTATTCGATTCTATTCGATCTACAATAATAAGGAAGATCATTGGAAAATTCTAAAATCATATGAAACTTCTTGACTAGAAAGATATCTAAGATTATTGAGGAAAACTTGTTCGTGTTCAAGAATCATTAAGAATTTCACAAATTATAAAAAAAATATTTTTACGATTTACCCCAAGCTGATTCTAAGGATAGTTTTGGGACATTTACGTTGTGGGACTTCCCGTCTTAGAATTAACAATTAGCGTTATGCAAGCGCTAATTGTTGTCGCCGTTAAACGTATTAAGAGAAGTAAATACATTATGTATGCATATACACACACAATATACATATATATATGTATATAGTATTATACAGTACAGTATATATAT